GGCCTGTTTGGGCAATCCCATCAAAGGATGTTCTCCTGTCTGGCCCCGTGTGAAACGAGACCCACCCTGCCGCCCCACAACACCCGGCAAGCCTCGTCCCTCACCCACCCGGGTCTGGCCACGCTCAACGCCGGCCGAGATGCTACAAGTGGAGATGGCGCCGGAAGGCCTCGTGGCCCGAAACAAGTTCGGCAACGGCGGCGCCTCGTGCACTCGCCCCTGTCGCTCCTCACCCCGGCCCCCTATCGCTCACCCCGCCCCCCTATCGCTCACCCCGGCCCCCCTATCGCTCACCCCGGCCCCCCTATCACTCAGCCCGGCCCCCCTATCACTCAGCCCGGCCCCCTACCGCCTTACCTCGGGGCCCCCGTTCCGCTCACCTCGTGTCTCCGACTCCCAGGCGGTTGTAGTCACGTGATTGGGCCCCGGCGCATGAATTAGCGACGCGCACGTGGCGCGGTGAGGCGAGGCCACGTGGTGCGATCGAGGCCACGTGGTGTGAGCGAGCTCTCGAGGTTCACAGCGGAGGCTTCACACTTCGAATCAGTCGGGCGGCATTTGCTTGTTGTCGTCTGCGTAACGCTGTGCGGAAGCTACCTGGTCTGTCGCTCCACACAAAGTTTCGTGTCTTCTCTACGCTTGTGAAACGTCGACCCCTCGAATGGAACATCTGCTCCGGTTAGAAACATTCAGGCCGGCCTGCTTCCGCTCCATCCTGGGTTTCACCATGCTGGACTGTGTGAGGAGCTCACAAATCCTTGAAGACCTGGACACATTCCCATTAGTGAGCTCCTCCCACAGGCAAGGCTGCGTTGGCTGGGTCATGTCGCTCACCGCATGCCCAACCACCGCATACCTAAGTCGATTATCTTTGGCCGGATAGAGGGGGCTAAACGGGCAGGAGACGCTACAGGAGGATGTGGAGTTGAGTGGTCTTGCTTAAGACGGGTACCAGCGGTGTCAAGATCGGCCTCTATGGAACAGACTCGTGAAGGACGCTACTGGTCAGATGGGGGTAGTCACCCTCCAACAACAACGAGGAGCTTCTGGGAGTATAAAATGCAGCACGTTGGTACAGGAGGGTGCACAACTGGTGCATCTGCTAGTCATCTCAGTCAACCCATGGCGCCTGGGTCTGTCCCGTGACCTCATGTCAGTGAGCCTTCGACACTTCCCGTGGCTTCAAAGTGCACCTGGCCTGGCACAGACGCCGTGGTGGATGGCGGGTATTGGCGTGAATGAGCACCACGTGGTGTACCGTGTGTTAGCTCCACGTGATTGTGGGCTCCACGTGATGTGAGTGAGCTCCACGTAGTGTGTGTGGGCGTCACGTGATGTGAGCTCCCCGTGATGTGTGTGGGCTCCACGTGATGTGTGTGTGGGCTCCATGTGATGTGTGTGGGCTCCACGTGATGTGTGTGTGGGCTCCACGTGATGTGTGTGGGCTCCATTTGATGTGTGTGGGCTCCACGTGATGTGTGTGGGCTCCACGTGATGTGAGTGGGCTCCACGTGATGTGTGTGGGCTCCACGTGATGTGTGTGTGGGCTCCACGTGATGTGAGTGGGCTCCACGTGATGTGTCTTCGCTCCACGTGATGTGTGTGGGCTCCACGTGATGTGTGTGGGCTCCACGTGATGTGTGTGCGCTCCACGTGATGTGAGTGGGCTCCACGTGATGTGTGTGGGCTCCACGTGATGTGAGTGCGCTCCACGTGATGTGTGTGGGCTCCACGTGATGTGTGTGGGCTCCACGTGATGTGTGTGGGCTCCATGTGATGTGTGTGGGCGTCACGTGATGTGTGTGGGCTCCACGTGATGTGTGTGGGCTCCACGTGATGTGAGTGCGCTCCACGTGATGTGTGTGGGCTCCACGTGATGTGTGTGGGCTCCACGTGATGTGAGTGCGCTCCACGTGATGTGTGTGGGCTCCACGTGATGTGTGTGGGCTCCACGTGATGTGTGTGCGCTCCACGTGATGTGAGTGGGCTCCACGTGATGTGAGTGGGCTCCACGTGATGTGTGTGGGCGTCACGTGATGTGAGTGCGCTCCACGTGATGTGTGTGGGCTCCACGTGATGTGTGTGGGCTCCACGTGATGTGTGTGGGCGTCACGTGATGTGTGTGGGCTCCACGTGATGTGTGTGTGGGCTCCACGTGATGTGAGTGGGCTCCACGTGATGTGTGGGCTCCACGTGATGTGTGTGGGCTCCACGTGATGTGTGTGGGCTCCACGTGATGTGAGTGCGCTCCACGTGATGTGAGTGGACTCCACGTGATGTGTGTGGGCTCCACGTGATGTGTGCGGGCTCCACGTGATGTGTGTGGGCTCCACGTGATGTGTGTGGGCTCCACGTGATGTGAGTGGGCTCCACGTGATGTGTGTGGGCTCCACGTGATGTGAGCGGGCTCCACGTGATGTGTGTGGGCTCCACGTGATGTGTGTGGGCTCCACGTGATGTGAGTGGGCTCCACGTGATGTGTGTGGGCTCCACGTGATGTGTGTGGGCTCCACGTGATGTGTGTGGGCTCCACGTGATGTGTGTGGGCTCCATGTGATGTGAGTGCGCTCCACGTGATGTGTGTGGGCTCCACGTGATGTGTGTGGGCTCCACGTGATGTGTGTGGGCTCCATGTGATGTGTGTGGGCTCCACGTGATGTGAGTGGGCTCCACGTGATGTGAGTGGGCTCCATGTGATGTGTGTGGGCTCCACGTGATGTGTGTGGGCTCCACGTGATGTGTGTGGGCTCCATGTGATGTGTGTGGGCTCCACGTGATGGGAGTGGGCTCCACGTGATGTGTGTGGGCTCCACGTGATGTGTGTGGGCTCCACGTGATGTGTGTGGGCTCCATGTGATGTGTGTGGGCTCCACGTGATGTGAGTGGGCTCCACGTGATGTGAGTGGGCTCCATGTGATGTGTGTGGGCTCCACGTGATGTGTGTGGGCTCCACGTGATGTGTGTGGGCTCCATGTGATGTGTGTGGGCTCCACGTGATGTGAGTGGGCTCCACGTGATGTGAGTGGGCTCCACGTGATGTGAGTGCGCTCCACGTGATGTGTGTGGGCTCCACGTGATGTGTGTGTGGGCTCCACGTGATGTGTGTGGGCTCCACGTGATGTGTGTGTGGGCTCCATGTGATGTGAGTGCGCTCCACGTGATGTGTGTGGGCTCCACGTGATGTGTGTGGGCTCCACGTGATGTGAGTGGGCTCCACGTGATGTGTGTGGGCTCCACGTGATGTGTGTGGGCTCCACGTGATGTGAGTGGGCTCCACGTGATGTGAGTGCGCTCCACGTGATGTGTGTGGGCTCCACGTGATGTGAGTGCGCTCCACGTGATGTGAGTGGGCTCCACGTGATGTGTGTGGGCTCCATGTGATGTGTGTGGGCTCCATGTGATGTGTGTGGGCTCCACGTGATGTGTGTGTGGGCTCCACGTGATGTGTGTGTGGGCTCCACGTGATATGTGTGGGCTCCACGTGATGTGTGTGGGCTCCACGTGCTGTGTGTGGGCTCCACGTGATGTGAGTGAGCTCCACGTGATGTGTGTGGGCTCCACGTGATGTGTGTGGGCGTCACGTGATGTGTGTGGGCTCCACGTGATGTGTGTGGGCGTCACGTGATGTGTGTGGGCTCCACGTGATGTGTGTGGGCTCCACGTGATGTGTGTGGGCTCCATGTGATGTGTGTGGGCGTCACGTGATGTGTGTGGGCGTCACGTGATGTGAGCTCCCCGTGATGTGTGCGTGGGCTCCACGTGATGTGAGTGAGCTCCACGTGATGTGAGTGAGCTCCACGTGATGTGAGTGGGCTCCATGTGATGTGTACGCTTCAAGTGGAGCTCACACACAAAGACAGATATACTCACTTTTGTTGAAGGACATTCGCTCTAAACAATCTGTTTAGAGCCCTGACGCAGTGGTGGAAATTACATGCTCCTATGGCGGGGGCACGTTTATTGAACAACTACCGTTGAACTCGCGACCGTTTGCGAGCTGCACACAGCCGCCACCAATATCTAACACAATCGCCAAGATTTCTATATTCTATTATTACCAGGTATAAAATATGTAAATAACGCAAACAAAATCCATGTTCAGCACTTATATAATGTCGTTATTTTCATAAAAACTCACGGCAAAATGTGAAACGGTACAAAGTGACTGCTACAATGGGAGCTTCCCTAGGGAAACGACATTGTTACACCACCAAGATGGGACGTGAATCAGCGCGCCGGATACTCGGCAACTTCAACGCATCGACGTCGGGGACAATCTTAGACCGGCGCGATGCGATTCGCGGTGCAAGTAGCACCTCAACATTGCCACAGAGAGGGGAAAACGAGCTGCCGGCAAAGCCAACACCAGAAACTCGGACAGTGGGGAGCTTACTTAAGATTCTGAGCAACAATTTCAAATATATAAAGGAAAAAACTGATTAAATGGATGTCACCACTTTAAAAGATGTATCGTTACAATAACGGATAGTGTTTTCATAATGGGGCTAAAGATAAGGGAGCAGACAGAAAAATTGAGACCACAAAAGTTACGTGAAATATAAAAAAGAGACATGCAAATTACTGAATAATCCGAACTCTGTAAAACTCTTAGGAAACGAGTGATAAATAAAGCCCATGGGTCACAGCACAGAGAAAGATGACGTCGTAGCAAACGATCAGAATATTAGAGCTTGAAAGCAGCACAAATGAGGTTCATATTTGTCGATTCACAAATATTGCCTCTTGTGAGAAAAGTTGGAACCGTATCTCGTAATAGATGTAATGGTGGAGTTATTGGAGGAATTTGGTGCAGAATACAGCAACAAAATTTTAAGGCCAGGAATGAGAATGTCTCTCAGTTAATGAGGAGGGTTCAAAGGTCACCCCAACACAAAACAAGGCAGAAGGAGCTCTGGGCCAGGTGGTGACTCGTCGAAGCAGCAACACGACTGCGGTCGTGTTGCTGCGATGCAGAGCAGCATATGGGGAGGTGCACCGCGTTTTGTATTAACACAGAAAGTAATGTGACCTGCGGTGTGATGTTTGAACACACTGTGGATGACATGTAACGGTCTGGAAGACTGAAGACTTTAACTGGGTGGATGACTCAACGGGTGACGTGTACGGGAACAGTGACCAAGGTAGTAGCGATAGCAGAGTGATTAGAACGTGACTGACCGCCAATGAGTAAGTGGCTGAAGTGAATCGGTGATCAATATTTATCCGCGTGGTGTAAATCCACCGAATTTCACTTTGGCGTGCGCGTTGGCGAGCGGGTAGCGCCCATCGGTCGAGATGTCGTGGCCCCTTCGCCTCGGCCCGAGCCCCCCTCCAGCACGACGGACGCGGCGTGCGCGCGTCGCTCAGACGCTGCGGGAGCTCTGCGCGTCTTCGTTCTCGCAGCGCGCCACGTCGTGGCCGTCGTCGTGGCCAACGTCGTGGCCGTCGTCGTCGTGGCTCCCGCGCCCGAGCGACGGCTCCGTGTGCCCGCCCGGGCCCTGGCGCCGAGGGCCCGGGCGGTGCGGCTCGCCGGCGTGGGGGAGGCCGCGCTCTCTCCGCTGCTGCTGCTGCTGCTGCCAGCTGGCCCCGCCGGGCCTGGGGACGCGCGGGGCGCCTGCCGCGTCCCCGGCCCCCGCGTGGCCGTCGCTCCCGTGGTGGTCACCGCCGCCGCCGCTGCTGCCGCTGCTGCTGCTGCAGTCGTCACGGTAATCGTCACGCGATTCTCCGGGGTAGGTCCCGTGAGTGTGAGGAGTGACTCGAGACTCGCAGCTTTCCTGCAACAAGAGGCAGACGTACTCGCATGTCAATCATAGGTGATGTTTTAGGTTCGGCCGCGTAATGATCTGGGCCCTCCACCACCCGCGACAACGAAACTAATTCAGTGGTTTACGTCCACGTGTGTTTATCGCGCCACTTTGTCAGCCACATTTAGCAAACGATGCAGAAACAAACTGGGTTGCAAAGAAAGGGCCGGAGACGTTGAGAGACGACCGCAGATGCAGATAGACGATCGTCGACGCAGAGACAACCAGAGAGAGACGCGGAGAGATGGCCGGAGTCGTAATAATGAGTGGCGTGGTGAGACGAAGTCCGGTACCGGTGCAATCCACATTGGGCCCTCGTTCCCCCTGCGGTCTCTCGGCTTGATGCGCGTGGCAGGACTCTGCGACGTCTCTGTGGACACAGCCTCACGGTGATTTGTCTCGTTCACGTGTAGACCAAGCGATTCATGCTCTTGCTGTTCGAGCATCGTATGCCTCATTGTATACCGATTTACAAGCAATATGTGGATTCGGCCATGTAAAATACAATCCGACCGAATATCCGTCGTAAGGCCTTCCATCATCCAAAGCTCGCCCAACGATTAGAATGATCACCAGTGGTAAGGAGCAAAGTCTCACGTACCGTACATGGCCTCGGCGTAGGGGAGCAGGGAGGCCGACCCTCTTCGGGGTTGTGGGAACTTCTTCTCGGCCAGGCTGAGCTGGGCGCTCTCGGCCTCTGCACTGCAGCCACACAGATCAAGCGGCGTGACAGCTGACGTCTCGTGCTCGACGCTTTGAGACGACGACTCCGGGTTGAACCCTGATGACGAAGCTTGGGAAGCCAAATGGAGTTCACAAGAAGTCACAAACACCTCGTGAAAGAACCGACGATCAAGAAGATTGAAGCCACAATCCCAAACCGCATCCACTGCACAACCCATGGCACCAGATGCAGTCATACTTCATGGTGCACAACTGGAAAATAAATAAAAACTCTCCGGCAGTGTATGGAGACTGGTCACCAAGAACAGATTATGGAAGAACATATTCCGACTTGCTCCTCAACTCACAAATACGAAGGAGGAGGGATCAGCACGGTGATGATGCGTCACTCCGCCACTCCTGACTCCACAATCATATGCCTCGTCCTCCACCTTGATGTAGCATCACAGCTATTGCTACACACCAAAAGTGGTCATACGGAGAAGACTATATTCTTATTCATCACAAAATAATGACAGTACTTGGCACAACAATCTCATCTGAGCTGTGTTACTCATCTGGTTAAGGAGGCATCGAAAAGGTGTTTTCTTTTCCGTGCCAAAGCCTTAATCTTTAATTCCAAACAAGTCTTACTGATGCTGTTATATAGTACAGAGTCCAACTATTTGCCCTAAGTTGGTATTCTACTGCTGTTATATCTGGGGTGGAACACCCAGCCCCTACCTCATTGCACGTGATAGAGTTCAGGATAAAGCTGTCGGGTTATTGATGACCCAGCACCCACTCACCGGCTGTCAGTCACCTCCTTGTCACTCTTTTATCGCTACTAACATGGTGACTGTGAACTTCACTCATTGCATCCTCTCATCCACGCAGTGTTAAATCACCACACTGCAAATCATAATGAAAGACAAATACCCCCCGAATAGCCTTAACAGACTTTTGAGGCAAGTGCTGTGAGCGAGCACCTATGAGGGCCAGCACGGTCAACGAGAGGGTGGGTGGCCACTACCACGCCCGACTGCCTTTGTCTCCCCAGTGGCGATGTTTACACGCCACACCAGGTACTCAGTTAAGGCTGAGTCAACTTTGGGGAGGCCCGGGACCGGTTCAGACAACACTATTGTTGGCCGTCAGCGGGAATCGAACTTACTTCGCTTGCCGGGTTCATAACGCAGCGGGCTAAGCACATGACCCTCCCGCTCTCCACAAGATCGCACTTACTCTCACCCACTCCACCTGCACACTGCGGGTCACAACACTTCCCTTGATGTTTCTTCCTTGCGCCTCTGAGTCGTTCTTACTCTTTCAAAGTGGCCAAATATGTGTGCGGCGCATTACAAATTGAAATTATGATTATTATTTGGAGTATCGCCAGTTCTGAATACTGTGTGACACGCATTGGAGCCGGTTCTGTCAACCAGACATACGTTTTGGAGGGGTTGCAGCAAAGGCAGACGGACGTGATGACGATGGCAATGAGGATCACGCAGCCTCCCAGGATCAGGTAGACAGCCATTCTCCCTGCGCACGACACAACCGAAGTGCGTCCCCACACACACGCGGCACAGTGAGTTTGTCTAACGTGTTCGGTTCGGTGGAACACGCTCATTGCATTGGCGCTGTGTGTACCCCGTAAACTCGCATGATATACTCTACACACATGTCGTCAACTCTGTGGTGATGACCTGTTGTGTATGTACCCCCTTTTTATTTTTTTTTTAATATTATTTTTTTTTAAGGCTTATTCTGCCATCATATATAATATTGTTTTTTTAATAGACACGGGGCCACGTGGGAACGAACACGCCCCCACACTTCCACAGAGGCCCCCACACTTCCACAGATGCGCGCATACCTCATTTCAAAGGAAAGACGGCATGAAAGAGGGTAATCAAGGTCATAAACTCCCCGAATTTCACACAAGAGGAACAAGGGAGGGGGGAATTGCAGGCGGGGGGTTGCAGAACCAGGAGACACGGAGGAAGAGATAATTATATTCTTAACAAAGAAACAGCATCGACGACAAAAAGCACAGATGGGTCTTTGAACCATGTTAAATACACAAGTTACCAACTCAACCATAAAGATTAAGCAAACAGTATCCATCCTCACTCCAATTGAAAACCAAAAGACAATCTGCACCAGAATCGCGACCCATCATTGTTAATTAAGTACTGACATTATTTACCTTTAAAGAATATCTACACGGCCGGGCCGAAGCATCAAAGAATAATTAGGGCATCTATTTCGCTCCAAAACAAATTCCTAGCCGGGATATCAGATCAAATAATCACAAGAAGTCGAATAATAAGTACGGAATTAAAATAGAAGAGGAATCAAGGGCGGAGAAGGCTCTCAAAATTAACCAAACACAACACCCATGGGAAGCGAGCAACACGACCGCCTTTGTCTTTCCGAGAGGATCTCCACACACAGGCACCAAGCCAGGAAATGACACCCATAAAGGTTGGGTCACGATGAAACATCGTGAACACGGTTTCGGCATAACTGTGCAGATGGAACCAAGCAGCAAATAAGTTGCATTTCAACTTCCAAACCAAACCAACTTAAGCTGTGTGAGACAAAGGTTGTGATCCCAGAGCAAGGGAGGTAATAATTAAGCTCGCTTAACGCGTAAGTTTTCGCGACAAATATTATTCAGTAACAAAACATGGATTCGAATGTTTTTTTTATAACTCGACGCGAATCATCGGTCTGGCTAATGGATAACTTTGGTGGCACCGTCACGAGACCCCCACCCCTTTCTTCCAGAACGACACACACAGCTGTGTCTTCAAAGCTAATAAACACACGGACAAACACGCACGCGAAACACACGGACGGACACACACACGGACGCAGATGGTCCACCCCCACAGGAAGGTTTTATGACACAGCCTTTGAACAACTCGGGAAGCCGAGTGGAATTTTCCGATATAAACCGAAGGAAAATCCATACAAAGCATATCGTCCGGGCTTCGGCTCCAACACACATATCATCCGGGCTACGAGCCCATCTTCGGCTCCACCACAGATCGACAGGGGCTCTGGCCCCCATCACAGATCTCCAGGGCTGTGGCTCCATCTCTCCTCGTCGCCGCCAACGAAGAAGCTCCTGTCATTCAGAATGACGAGGTTTGCGGAGTAGCGACGCGTAGCTACAAGCCGAGGTCTGCACCACCTGAGAAGAATCGCTACCCTGAGTCGCAGAGCTGCGAGTGAAGCCAACAAAGACGCCAACGTCCACCCTGCCACGAACGAAGCATCGCTCCTCGTCAGAGTGACGACCAGCGAACAACCCGCAGGAAAGGCGGAGATCGCTGAACGAGCGACAACGAGCGACACCTTGCGCCACCGAGCGACACCGAGCGACACGAGCGACCGAGCATCTTCAAGGACAGCATCGTGCCAACTCGTCATCTAGCAGTAGAAAGAGAGAGCGCACGAGCAGCACCAAGCCCCGGAACCATCAAGCGCCAAGCAAGCAAGTTTCTTCAAGGAACATCGTGCCAACGCCGCTCAATCCAGCAGTGGAGAGAGAGAGAGAGAGCAAAAGCCGAGCGACACGCCGAGCGAGGGAGCAGCAGGAGCTGTTCGTATCCTCCCACACCACACAAGCTAACGACACAATTAATATTACGAGGGGACAACGCACACACAGCACGCACACGAATAAGACTTTAAAAGAAAAACTGTCTTTTCGTTTCAAAAAGGGTTGCCATTTCGAGGTGGTGCGTTCAATATCAACTGATCGTGCAAAGCAGTTGCTGCCGTCGAGTTACATAAATGCATAAGAGTTTTCGTTATTCATATTGCATAATTGCATAATGTCACAACTGCATAAGTTTTTGTCGTTCATATTAGTTAATTGCATAATCTTGCCCATGAATTATTGACGCATGTTTGACCTGCATGATAGAATGTCACGTGCTTGTTAGAATAAAATTGTAATCCAGAAGCATATCGAGTGTTCCTTCCAAGTCCATGCAAAACTGTCTTATTCTTGACAACTGTATCCTGTGATGAGATATGAAAATGGAGACCTAAAATATTATAACACACACTAGGATAATCGGTAAATGAATCTATGATAATCGTGTTATCCTGATTGATAACCCTGGATAAACGAAACTAAGCAAATTATCGTAACTGCACACATTAACATAATCGCAAGCCTCCGCATAAATTACTACGATTATCTCCGTGATTATAATAATTTATGCATATAATTACACGCATTATCATAATTTATGCGTATTAATACACACACTATCATAATTAATGCGATTTGCGCATTTTTCGGAAAATTATTAATTTTTTTATTTTTATCAAATTTCATAATTCCAAGACATACAACATAATGGGTGGCCCGTCCGGGATCTCTCGCAGACAGTGTTTTGCATGGATGATGGAATGAATCACTTCGTGTTAACCAGAATATCAGGATCGAACATTGCATGGTGATTGTGAACGGGCGGAAAACTAAAAAACGCCCTCTAAGGTTAAACCCCAGAATAGCAGGTTAAAACAGAGACAGTGGAATTAAGATAATATCGTATCAAACCAATTGCATCCTCTGATAAATGGTGTTAGAGGTACGCACTCTGAATCGGAAAATAACAGATAGCTCGAGTCAAATTGACTACACTCTGTGAGATAATTGTTTTATATGCACTCTGAAAAGAAATGTCAAAGTAACTTCCGCCATACCTAAGATGCTAGGATTGAGAATAATTTTTGAATGGGTTACGGGATGCGGGGAGCTCGTATTTAAACGTACCGACCAATCTGTTACAAAGCAGTACAGTCAGAGAGACATATGGGAAGGGAGCTGTATCGATAACACGAACACACCTCGGGGGAAACTAATTGACTGGATAAAAGGTAACGAAGGCGAACACGATGCAAAAACTGCAGAGAAGGCAGGACAGGACTCATTCCTTCTCACACAGGCATACAGACAGGGATTGTGGAATGAGGGAAAATTTGGAAAGGAAACGGGAGAGAAATCAGTGCTCGCGACACCAGCGAAACTCACAGACGTGGATCCACAGAATAAATATGGAAGTGACATTAAATCACACTCTTGGGTACGTGGACAGAGTCCAGGGATTGATCGCACAAAAATTATGGATATCGAACAAAAAATCATTGACAAAGGGAAACCCTCACAATTCGAGAGAAGGGATGGAGAGATACATATGCAAACAAAAACATGTGAGACTGACAACTTCACAGATAGAGGGAGGAAAAATGTTAAAGTAAAATCGCCAGGACATGGTACACTAAGGGCAGAGGCAAAAACTGAAGGGAAATGGCAACACGAGCGACACGGCACTGGGCGCGCACACAGAAAATGCACACCACTTAAACACAAGCGACACAGCACAGACCAAAGTGACAGATTGCCTGATGATAACTTGTTTGATGATGACGCTGTCGGCAATCAACTTTCGGAATACCTATTCACCAGTAAAACCCTTAAATTGATGGACAAGGCTCTAGTCAGAATTCCCGATTTTGACCCCCACAATAAGACTATGGATATCCACACACATATCGCAACCGTAGAAGAGGAGGCAATGATTAGAGGGCTGAGGAGACGGGATGAAAAAGCGAGTTTGTTGAAACGGACCTTACATAAAGAATCTATTCCATGGGTAAAGTCACTACCACACAAGGTTAGAAATGATTTTAAACAATTGAGCCTGGCAGTGATTCGGAAGTTTGGAGAATATTCGACACTCACTGAGGGGTTTTATGCTGTAAAATCGATGACCCAGGGCATGGACCAAGATCCACGTGACTACCTCGTCCAATTTAAAAGAGCGTATTATGCAGGCGATGTGAATCAATACCACGAAGGAGATAAAATGTTCAAAATTATGTTTTTTGAATCCTTGAGCCCAGAGATTACAGAAAGGGTGAGGATGGTTTTGAATCCAGAAACCGCATCCTTACGCCGCATAGAGAGCAAGGCGTACATGGCATGGTTGTACAGAGCTAAGAATCATAATTCGGATCCAGAACACAGGGAGAGGGATGAGGAACCCAGCCTCTCAGAGAGGAATAAAAATCACCGAGCAGTCCCACAATGCAGGACAGAGCAGAAACGCACGCACCCATGGCAAAATAACCCAGAGAGAGGTTGGCACGAGAATGAGAGCGGCACAAAGCCGAACATTCAGGAGAATCGCAGGAGGGGGAGGTTCAGAATAGAACCATACCAACACCCCATGCCACGACACACACAAGATCAAAATTACCCACAAAGATGGCGAGGTAACAATCCAGGAAAAATTTGGCACCCAAATGGGAGAAATACTGGGCTAAAAATGTACGAGAATCGCAGGAGGGAGAGGTTCAGAGCAGAACCATATCAACACCCCATCCCACGACACACGCAAGGTTCAAATTACGCACAGAGATGGGAAGATAACCACCTAGCGGGAAGGTGTTACACAGACCGCGGAGGTATGGATGCGAACATTCAGGAGAATCGCAGGATGGGAGGTCAAACA